TAATAAATAATCAATTTCTTAGGGCGAGAGACGAGAGTGCGAGACAGGCGTTGAAGTGTTATTTGCGTAATATAGATATTATTAAATCATATTATAATCTAGGAGTATCTGGTTTGTCCACTTTTTTGAATATGTAGTTTCATTTAATTTAATTACATTTATCACGGCCAAAAAAGTAAAAAATAAGGGGGGAAAGTTATTTTTTTTTTTAGTTATAAATTCTCTAATTTTTTTTCAATATTATTTGTTTTAGTTAATTTTCCTTAATACAATTACAAAAAAAAAATAATGTTAACAAATTATAATTAAATATAATTTTTTCATTAATTATAATTTATAAGGAAAAACAAAATATATTCTCGTTTACTCTATTGCAGGCATATAATACACAAAGTTGCTTTTAAAAACGTAAAATGTTCCATACTATACATAGGTAATTGTAAAATATTCAAATAGGTAGTTAATATTATTATAATAAAAAGTCTCCTCAGATTAACCACAATATAGAACGAGATCACAAAAACGAACCAAGAAATGTATTTGCGGCTAACTCAAATTTATGGAATAAGCAGTTCAGTATTATAGTTATTCTCCGAATAAATCAACCATGAGAATACGAAATTATTATAAAACAATTATTATGCGATTAAAATGTAATTTATTTGTAGTATTATAGTATATAAATGCCATTAGAAAACCAAGTTCTAACTCAAATTAATAATTACATAGATATTTCAAGAATAATTTTAAGCAATTGTTATGAACACTATTAAATACCAATAAACTATTTAAACTACAGTGTGCAGAAGCATTAGGTCACCACAAATCACATCCTAATTATGTAAAGTACAGCCAAATGCCATTATAATATTACCACCAATGTGTTCACTATTTTTCAAAAATTCCCACATTTTAATGTCAGTCGATAAATAAATTAATAATGAGTGGACGAAAAAAAAAATTGATTCAAACGGTTATAACGTGACAATACTGACAATGGTATGCCATGAGAAACTATGCTCAGTACTCACATTATAATAATATTATGCACAGGTAAACGTGACGGCTCGCGTGGTTATTGGTAAATAGTATTACTCTTTATTGCTTACAGAAAACGATCAAAAGATATTCAAATAATAAAATAGCAACAATGCATTTTTCACATATAAGTACCCATATTATAACAGAGAAGGCCTACAATATTGTATAAGTATCATAAAACATTAAACTATAGGTACGCGTTTATAAAATATATATATTAGACCTATAATAACTAAAGCCGATAAAAATATTACATATTTCGGATAAGTATATAATATGGCATAGTACATACATACAAATGATTATTTAAAAATTGATTTATACCATTTAGTATTTACACTAATGGTAGGCACTTAACCAAGATCATTTGATAATATTATATATTTTAAAATGTATGTAGGTACCATTGTACCAATTATTTTTCTTCCAGAACGATATTAATTCTATGGCATGCACTACTTTTTTATTGTGATGAAAAATATTCTTACTAATAAATTTATACTTACATCATAATCCATATTATATATTATATTTTTTCACATTGTAAATTATTTAATATTTTCAAAATATACACACAAAAAAATAATAATTCACTTACACCATTAGGGCATTAGGAACATTGCCAAGTTTCTTTTACTCGATTAAAATACCGGATACATTTAAAATTAATATTTCTAACAATAATACTTTTTTGCCCTTTTTTCATCACATAATGGACTTTCCACAATAGCTATTTGCAACAACAAAAAGAATCTACTTTTATAGGTAGGTATATCTATATCTGTGTCTGTAGTCGTCTGCTACAACACCTATAATATAATATTCAATATGTAGGTAGGTATATTCTTTCAGTGGACAATGTATAAAATATGTATAATACAAACATCAGTCGAAACGTGTTTTCACAATTTATTCAGTGTTTAAAATCGTTGAACAAACAATTAAACAAATAACCACTTTTATTTTCTGTAGGTATACAATTTTATAAGAGCATTTTTTCGTACTAACCTACGTATATATTTATACAATTTTATTATAAATGCATAAGAATAACACACTACACATATTATTATTCCGTTTTTTGTAATTTTGTATTAAACTAAAATTTACTGTAACATAATATTAATTACCTACTGATTGAAAAGGTACCTATGGGGTATATTAACTACCCAGCTGATTTCAAATTTTCGCGATTAGGACATTAGGTGGTTGTTAAAAGTAAATCCCTTAACATATGAATTAATAAGTAAAATTAAAAATAATTTTTATTATAACAATAATAAATAATAATACATTATTGCATCATGTGATTGTTAAAATTATTAACATTACTTTAATTTCTGAGAGCATAATAAATGAATGTAATATATATTAATATTATAGGAGTATAAAAAATTAAGAAGGAATAAAGGAGTATTCGTAGATATTTAGATTACTATAAATTATGATGAATGTCTTTTGTCGATTATAAAATTTTAGGCCTTAAATAAAATAATAAAATGTATTTCCTATTCAGATATTTATTTTAGATATTAAATCAGTCTTTACTTCGAACAGTAATGCTAAGCTATGGTCAGCTATAATTAATAGCCCGTTGTATTTTTTATCGATCATAAACATAAATATACCTGCATGTACACGATTTTAAAGAAATTAAAAATAAATATTTTTTTCAATAAACTGTAATAAAGTACCTAACTAGTAACTAAAAAACCAATTATATATGAATATAAAACGCCCATAGTGTAATTTGTATGTTTTTGCGTGTTTTGCCAGTGTGGTTTTAGAGACAGATTGTAGTATGATAACAATTTTCTGAAAGTTTCAATATCACGCATTTATAATATAATAGTAATAATAGTTCATGTTAATATACCAATGTACATATTTTCATTTGAAGAGTGGAAAAACACTGTGGATTAAGAACATTATCAGAATACTTTTTTTTCCTTTTTGATTTTAAAATACTTGTGTGTATTACTACAATGTTTCTTAGATTAAATCATTGCCTAGCGCCCTCCTAGCTGGATGTTTTTTTTATAAAATTGTATATTCTTATAAGTATAAAAATGTACATGATTCATAAATAAAAAATAATAACCATAATAATATAATTGCAATTTTCTCACTTACCTTGTACTTATACGAGTTTTGTTTTTGTTTCACATAAATGAATTTTAAAAAGTAAAAGGTTACAAATGTATGTAAAAATATTGTCCTTTTCGAAATCATTAATCATAAAATAATTTGAATAAGATGATTAGTTCAGTATGTTAGTCGTATAATACTCGTATGCAATTGGGTACTAATTATTAATCTATTATATTAGGCGGCTATGTAAGCGATTTATACATTGCACAATTGCATCGTTTTTGAACGCTTAGTTTATCTAACAATAGATTTATATGAAAATTGAATATAATATATTGAATTTTGTAAATATTGATTTGATTATTTATTTTTAGCATTTTAAACATATATATACAATTTTTGATCAAATACGCATATTATTAAAATGAGTAATAAGCTAAAAAATAATTATTAATAATAATACACTTCTATGGTAATAACTATAATTGCCAATGCTTAAGTTCAAAAAAAAATATTGCACTTTGATACATATTGGTATCTCTGAGCACCCCACTAAAATATTGTTATTTAACAAGTAATTCAGGGAAAACCGAAAAAGTATTATAATTTATAATGATACATAGGTACATAGAAAGTATTTAAAGTGTATACATTTTAAAATATTTTACTATGAAAAAATTAATTTTCGAACAGTTTTAAAACTATAGTATTTTCTTAGATAAAGCATAAGCTTATGCTATAACTTGATTAAAAAAGATAATATTATAAAATTATATGATTTAAATTAAACTTCATTTTTTTAATCTTTTGATAATAATATTATATTCATCAAATATGATACTTACATGCACATATGTAAATGCATTTAAATATATTATTATTTTTATACCTGTAACGGCTGAAACTGATTTACGATGATTAGAATTGAAAAAAAACAATAACGCCATGATACGATGGTCGTAATTGTTGATATTATATTATATTTCATTGGGTATTTATTTGAAATAAAATATAAATGTAAAACGCAGTTTTACATAATAGGTATTATCCGAAGCTAACCAATATTACCAATTCACGTTTTAAAATAGTATACATTTACTTAGTTACATCGATTTGTATTTTCCCACCTTTAATAATACAATCTACTCTTCACCATAGCCTATAATAAATACAGCTAACACAATATTCAGGCTTCAGCATCTAAGGTTTGATAACCATAAACCAACTGTAATTTCCTACGATCATTTGAATATCCCATCTTGCAGTATTTTGGTTTCAATTTGTTCAAGATCTCTGATACCTAGTTTATTAAATTATCATCACCAGCAATGTGGGTGTTACAAGCATCTACATTCTATATTATTTAGATGCCTACTCGTCGATTAATAATTCAACGGCCGGTGGTTTTAAACTCGAACGGTCTAAACTCAAATGTTTGGGGTTTATATTTTTTAAACGAAAACGATTTTCCCACTGAATACACTAATAATAATATAAATTATAATAACACATAAACGTATTTTATGGGTCCAAACAACGGTTAAAATAATAATGACGATGATAATGATAATAACAATAACACGCGGACGATAATTCCATCGATTGTGGGTTGGAAAAACACAAAGCAATAATATAGCAATGAGCCATTCTGCGCGGCCATTTAATATTATAAATAATAATAATAATATCGTGTAAAATAATAACAATAATATTATTATCGGGGAACGCGTAAATTGTTTTTCTTAAACGGTGTCGCGACCGGCCGGCAGAGGTCGACACTGTACGGTCGCGCGCGCCCAGGCGACGGCGGCAAACGATGGAAAAAACCGGCTCCGCCGGCGGCCCCACCACGTCCGCGTGTAGCGCGCGTCCGACGGCCCAGCATTCGGCCGGTGGCTTTCTGTGAGTGTCGTGTGTTCTTGTGTGTGCGCTCCGTATCAATTCGTCCGCGAGCATAATATTATATCACGATATTTTTACCATAACATAGGTACGATTATAAATTTATAACGAATCGGAAATTTCGGTTCCCTCGCAAAACGCTTTACGACGCGTCGCCGCCAACTAATATAATACGTTATTAGTTAAATATTAAACTCGAAATTGTATAAGTGGCGATTTTATTTTTAATTTTTGTAAAATTTCGCGCCGGATGTGTGCGACCGCTGACACGCGACAAATCGGTTTTTTCCAATCCTCCACGATGATGTGTTGGTGTTGATCTCGACTAGTCCGGACTACGAATAACTACAGCAGCAGAGCCATGAGGATTCTCCTGTGCGTTTTCGTCGTCTACTTATCAGGTTGGTGCTTTTAAAAATTCACTATTGTTATTAAAATATTAATCATTCGTCGTGCAGTCTTCCATCCGAAATAAATATAATGTAGTCCTCGAACGACCGACCCTGACTGCCCCGCGGGGTTGCAGCTCTCAAAATTTATCGCGATCGTCTTAAGCTCGGTAAATCCTATGTGTACATGTGTGTGTGCGGGTAGGTAAAAAATATATATTCGACCGACAACGATAAATTTCGTTTTATGTGGAAAAACCCCTCGTGGTACGTGTATGCGCCGTTCTTTTATTTGGGATCCACGTTTTTTTTTACCTGAATTAAATATTATACTATGGCACGAGGCAACAATCCGGACAACGCGACGGCGGAAAAAAAACGGATCGGACACCGCTGTGCCATTATAGATAGTTTTGTAGTATGGGACGTTCGAAAAACACTCGGCCGAAACTGATACATACAAATAATATTATTTTTCGACCTATTCCAACCGTTTTCTACCCGATTTCAAATATTTCAAATATATTATTACATTTTCCGTTCCGTTGATATATTTTTTTTATAGTTTCGAAAATTTTAGTGTATTATAAACTATATAATCATACATGATGTATACATGTATGATAATATTTTTTTTTTCTGATTCTAAGATATCGATAAACCCTAATACTGAAAAAAAGTTAAAACTGAGTAGATTTAATGCTTATTCAATAAGAACAATAAAAAATAATTATTACATTTTTTTTAATGCGTCTTTTGAGATGAGACTCGTTAAACAAAGACTTTATTTATCTGCACTTTGGCCAGGATAAACAAAAACAATGCTTCGCGAGTAACGTTTTTATAAACGTTATTTCTTTATTTTTCTTTATTATTTTTATACTTTAAACAGTATACCAGATACCTATAAAAATATTTTTTACGTTATTTTACAAACAAAAATAGTAGGTACTGCATTTAGCATTTACTTCATTCTACGTTCCTATATAGGTATATAGTAATAATATTGTAATTTATAGTCTTGTAGATATTGTATAGGCAAATATTTTCGTACTGTTATGATTTGAATTGTAGTTGCAGAAATTTGTGGTGTAATGTTGTTGAATTTTTAATGAGTTTGGAAACCGATTTTCCGCTTGTCATGGAAATACAACTGTTTCCTACCGATTGTGCACATTTTGCCCGTCCTTCGTATTTTTTCTTCTTAGGTACTTTATTTTCTTTCATTCAATACTCGTCGGACTATTATTACCTATTGGTATATTCATGCAACGTTCTGCGCGCCGTTAAAATCTCGGACGTCGAAATCGGCGGCGTTCGATCGAGATCTACAAAACTGATAGTCTAAAATAAATGTGCCTATTGTTGAGAACCACTGTAGGGAATAAGGGTTTCCAGTTTTCACAATGATGGGGATGTGAGCATTTGCTCAGGTAAAACGTGTGTAGTATTACTTTGGACGTGCAACATATTATTGACATGCCGGTGTAGTGTGTCCGTATGTTTATTGTGTCTGAACGACCGAAGGTCTTTTAGTGTAAAATAATATTTCGGTATTTTTTTTCACTTTCCTTTCTTTACGCATGATAATATTATTGGGTATTTTTGTGCGTGCATTCAGAGTGGCCCGGTTTCTATAGTGTGCTTGGACGGCCTATGTGCATATAAAATCCATAGGGGACGGATTTCAAATATAAAATTATATGTATAAATATAAAATAATTGGGTATATGCGTGTATCGTAATTTGTTCAATAGTAAATCGACAATGTTTGGACTTGACCCAAGACGTCAGCATGAATGTCTGAAGGATTTGATGTATTCATGCGTAAATGTCAGCTCGAATCGCAGTCATGTTCTGGTGGTTAAAAAACGTTTTATATTTTTTTCTTTAAAACGTCGCGCAGCCGACGAAATTAGCGAAAAATATATTATTTACCTCCGGGGTGGTCTGTTCCGTAACCCTAGACTCGTTTTTATATGGCAAAAATAATAAAAAAAATCATAATATTGTATAGTGTTTTACTGGGGTTTTACCCTTTATCCAGAATCCCTTCAAATAATTCAATTATTATTATATTTTCAATCTCTTATGATAGTTTTATAATTTTCTGCTCGTTATTTCTTGGTGTAAACCATGTGTGATAAAAATTAATTCGTTTTGCGTCGGTGAATATAATATATTATACACTATGTCGTAGTAGTGGATCTATACTACTCAGTCTACTCATAGTTCATACACATAACTGAATTCTGATATTCATAAGGAATATAATATTAATGGATTAATTTCGTAACATTTTGTTTATTATTAATATATTAACATTATTAATATTATTATATGAAACATAACCTAATAACATGTTTACTAAAAATACATTTTTAATTAATCATTATTAATAAATCCAAATGTTCTAGTATTTGGTTAGAAATTAAAATAAGTAAAATAACTGATATGACCTCGGATTCTACGTTTGCATTTGACAATGTGATCAACTAACAATTATTATAGGTACAATTGAACGCTTACCCTATGTCCGAGGTTTAAGGACTCACCGATTTAACCAATATAACCCATTCCAGAGGTATATTAGATAATACCTTTTAAATATGTTAATATGGTCATAATTTTTATATTTAGTTTTCTTGGAATTACTTAGGGTAATTTGAATGTATTAAAATGTACATAACCTACAGTTTTTTTGTAGTAACATGAGATTACTATAATTGCGCGGTGACACATAGGTTTTTATTTCTTCAGTGTGTTTTAGTCACCTTGTTTTTTTATTATATTAGGAAAAGCACTTAATCCGTGCCTAGTGGAGTCTGTACGACAGGGAATACTTTCTCTCTAGCTGGTATTTTTTATGAATCGCCGTCATGTTTCTTCGAAATATTAAACGAATTGATTACATATTATTCTGTTCGTACATAAAATTATTTATTTCGATTATTTAAAAAAACGGGAACACATGGCTCCCAAATTACAGTGCATCATTGGCTGTATCTCAACGGTTTTTTTTATTTTTCTATCCGATACTAACGGTGATACCGTCTTAATTATTTCGGTTTATTGCATAATAAACGATTCTTTTACACAGTTGTGCTGAAATCCCGACAGTGTTATGTGTTTTTCTCTCTCTATGATTCTGTTTTCAAACATCTTAATTATTGTCGCCACATGACGGCCTAACGACCGTTTATATATTTTCGCTGGTTGCACAACGTTCAGCATTGTTCTTGGGCCCCCATGGTGGCGGCGCTCTAATTCTTTCACCTAGGGTACAGAAAATGGATCGTTTACTACCCGCAACGAAATATTCCGATACGGTGATCTATTATCCTATTTAATCTAAAATGCCCCACTAATATTTTATGTGACCCAATATTAATAAACTAATACATTTCCTAGCCTACTTTTCTGTATTTATAATGTTGAAATTGACAAAATTAATAATATAGTGGTAGCAGAATGCGCAGAACAAATAATAGTGTCTCATTTAATAATAATTTATTAAACAATATTTGTTGGCACTGGAATCTTTTTCTTAACTCTGTAATTGGTATTTTTTGTTTTCTTACCTAAACTTCTATGATTCGTGTTAATTTTATTTTTATGGTCTATTACATCTAATTGTCTATTGTTTATTGTCAATCATTGTCACCGTCGGATAAGATCGGTCTGATAGTTATAATATATTATGACTTTTTGTAAAAGTATTACGATTTTCGCAAGATTTAGGAGTCTTGAAATCTACAAGTCTTAGAGTCTAAAATCTGCAATAAGAAAAACGTCACGTTGTATATTTTACGACAATTTTGGCGTATTAAACATAACATTTTTTGTGATGTATTCTATAATCTCTAAATAGCAATTGGCCTAAATCGTTTTCACACATGTTTTGAAGACATTATACTGGTATAAGGTATTAGATTATTCGACAATAGTAATGCTATATAAACTCCGTTATTTGTGATGTTATTTACATACTATATTATATTATGTTTTCATATTTCTCAATCGTTTAGGGACAATGTATTTATGAATACCTATTTGGAATTCTATGAACGTGCAGTACTTACATAACGGCCCTGGTAATAACCAAATCTCTATAAACATAATATTTTTCTTCGAATTGTGCATTTGATATTTTAAAGTAATGATAACTACCAATGAAATAAATTAATTTCGAGGCTATTATGTACAATTATGATGAGAAAAAACCGGTTGCATGTTACATTTAAATGTTATCTTCCCCAGCTACTGTTTGAGGTCGATGGGGTTGAAATGCATGTAAATATTCAATTTCCCTGGCGATAAATCTCACAGACATGTTCTACGGAGCTCTCTTGCTGTGTACAAGACAAAGAGGGCCCCATCGTAATATACTGTCGGCACTAATGTCGAATCTCATTACCGTCGAATAAATTTTCGGACCATAACACTAAACTACGCAACGTTATTGCTATGATATTTTATCCCGACACAGGTCTGTAAATGTGTGTAAGCCGTGGGCGTAGTGTAGTGTAGGTATAATATTTTTAGTTTTTTGTCGTGTTTTTATTATTTTTTTTATTTATATATTGTAATAAATGTTGCTGAGAAACTGGTTTTACACGATATTGGAACCAGTTTTAATATAGCGGACACTACACGCATATTATACGTGGGCCGTTGCAGCAGCAGCAGCAGCACAGTATGTATGATCGATAGGGCGCCGGTCGCAAGACAATTTTTATAACTCAGCTCTCCTTCCTCTCTCTTAATACGTTTTCTATGCTAATGACATTAATTTGCGTCTGGCTGTTTCCTTTATTCTAATCGAAGATGAGCAAACTTTATGGTATGTTAAACGTGACTGTTGTTTTTTTTTATGCAATGAATGTTGACGTATATATAATATAATATAAGTATTATAATATTATTGTTGCTATATTGGTACTTTGCACGAAAAATATAGATGTATATTATGTTATTATTTAGATCATGAACTAATAATCAATTGAAGTACC